AGCAAAGCTGCACCCGGAGCAAGATTTTATTCTCTTTAATGTCTTGTTTTCTCTTTTCTCTTCCCTTCCTTTTTTGCTGTTTCTTCATTTTTCTCTCTTTTTGGCGGCTTGGAAGACTTTGCCTTTTTTTGCTACAAACAAAACATACAGAGAGTTTAAAACTCAACTGGAGCCTAAGGTGAAACACAGCCAGAGCAAGCCATTTCCTCCCTTCCCCTCCCAGGCAGGAGGCTGTTGAACACCACGGGGAGTGCAGACACTATGATACTCTGCCACAAGGGCCGAGCGCAGCTCCCCGACCTGGCAACAGGCAGGAAGGGCGTCGTGCAACCGTCTCCTGCGATAGCTGCGCACAGAGGCCTGCGGCTGCGCCGTCCCCACTAGCGCTGCGCACATTGCTGCAGTTTGGAACTGGGCCTATTCATGAGGTTACGGCCCGTCTCGCTCGGGTCCAACATTCAGACTTGTTCACACACTACCAGTTCAGCTGAGAGATGAGGCATTCACTATCTACCATGATTTTTAATTCTTTCTTCATTCAGACGATGTTACAAACCCCAAAAAGGCGACTAAACCCAAGAGAACAGTTTGGTGGGGTAGTTCAGCACTGGGGAAATTAAGTTACCTTAATCATTGCATCACTTTCCACAGTGTCCTGCTCATCCTCATCAGACTGGGTCTCTTCCACATTCAGGTCCTCATTCAGATCCAAGCTCACTCCGGACCCAGACTGCCTTTTAGAGGTCTTGACAGAACCAAGGGAATATGGAGTCAGATGCGCCTCCTTGTTGTAGGCACGTGTAAAAGCTGCTTTGACCTGTTAGGGTGGAGGGACACACAATGAGCATCAGCTCAGGAACTGCAGACTGTTAACTCACTGACTCTTGGAGATTCCACGTCATCTCGCCTTTGGGAAGATGGAACCAAAGCTGTGCGGAAGAGGATGCAGTCTCACAGGACATGGAAAGCTGCTGAGAGTTGTATGGCAAAGGCTTGTTTTAAACGAGTCCCACAGTCCTCAGCGTGCCGCTGCCAACGCTGCTTGCTTAGGCCTCCACCCATTTCAGCACCATTCTGCTGCCACCACCCCCTCAGCAGCACCGAGCACCTGCCACACTGCAGCAGCGTATTCAGACAACACCCAGCTGTAGCCCAGGTGCGGTTATCAGCAGAGAAGGTTCTTCTCTTCCCATGAGCACCCAACCCGAGATCAGGGGGATTACGGATCATCGAATCATGGAATGGTTTGGGTTGGAAGGGACCTTAAAGACCATCTAGTTCCAACCCCCCTGCCATGGGCAGGGACACCTTCCACTAGACCAGGTTGCTCCAAGCCTCATCCAGCCTGGCCTTGAACCCTTCCAGGGATGGGGCATCCACAACATCTTTGGGCAACCTGTTCCAGTGCCTCACCACCCTCTCCGGGAAGAACTTCTTCCCGATATCCAATCTAAACCTCCCCACTTTCAATTGAAACCCATTACCCCTTGTCCTGTCACTACAGGCCCTTGTAAAAAGTCCCCCCCAGCTTCCTTGTAGCCCCTTCAGGCACTGGAAGGTGCTGTAAGGTCTCCCCGGAGCCTTCTCTTTTCCAGATCACAGGCAGTGCTACACATGAAGGGGACACAGCTTATAGCCAGGGCCTTGCCTGTAGAAAGGTACCAGCTTTTCCCTGCCCTTTCAGTGTTCCACTTCTATGCCCCCAACACTGCCAACTCCGTGATCCCTGACACCAGGAACAGGTGTCAGACTCCTGAATGAACCACAGCCTGACTGTCTTTTGGGGCGCACCCCTACAGCTTCAGTAGGGTGTTTGACAGCTGGTGTACGGAGGACTACCATTGATCAAGTTACAGTTAACAGGCAGCTGCACCAGCTTCAGCCTTCCAGCAGCACATCCATGCCACAACTATTATTCTAGGATTTCTTTTTGAAGGTATGGTGGAAAAACCAGGGTGAATCTTACCTTGGGATCCAGCTTTGAAAAAGGACTGGGTTTGCCTCCCCACGTGCTTATCTCCATGATATTTTCGATGTCTTCCTTCATCAAGCAGTAAGAGTCCATGAAGGTTATAGCTTCTTGTACACCATCTGCTCCACCGTCTTTCAAGGGCTGGACAAGTGCATCCCGCAAATAGGGCAGGTACTCCAGATTCACTGTCCTCTTGCACGTCTGGGTTCTGCGTCAAACAAAGCGGTGAGTAAACCCGCACAGCCACCACCGCTCACTTGCAAGCCCAAGCGGCCTGCAGGTAAGGCCCCCAGCAAACAGGTGTCTGCGTTAGGCGTTAACTGCGAGTCACTCTGTGCCACCCCTTCTGCCTGCATTGTTATCCCTGCATTAGGGATAACCGGTACTCCGACACCCAGCGGCCCGGGGAAACGCGTCCCCGATGGAGAAACACCTTAGAAGGGGTGGGGGGAAGTTGCAGTACTGCTGACAATACTGAAAGCGTTTGCAGTCTGATCAACGTCCAGATTAAGTGCCAAGAAAGTGCCGCCAACCCCACAGGAGCAGGTTGGCAAAACACACACGTGAGCGAGAATCAGCGGCAGTGAGCTACACAAGACCCGTGTATCCGTATCGGTACAAACCCAGAGAGGCATGTCAGTACTACCTGAGACTCATGTGCATTGCCAGTTCTTGAATGACGCGGTCGTGTTTGCCTGTGGATGAAAATTTCCCCAGCCAGCTGGGAAAGATGGGAAACTGGGACATGTAACCTCTCATCAGCTCCCCCGGGAGAACACTGGCATAAATGGCCTGGAAAATGAACACACACGTGCCAAACTCCCATCAGTGAGTTAGTAACACCTCGCCGTACCACCCGACTCATCCACAGGCAAGGAGGTGGTGCATACAGCTCCACAGTGCAAACAGCTTGTTCCGAGAGAACCTTGTTGGTTGTTTCTGGTCAACCCCTTTTAGGTTACAACTTCATCTCTCATCCCACCACCCTATTTGTTACCACGTTCTAAAGCATCTGGGGTTTAAAAGCCATCGACAAAAGCCTGTTCCTTCCTCACGGCCAGCTCAGAGCACAGTCAGACCAAGGGCTGACTTCGCACAAGCCAGCGCCGTGATCTCCCACGGATGGGCACGGTGAAGGGGACCTCTCCAAAGAACCCCACAGACCTACACCGACTCAGCCAGCCGAGGCTCTAAGCAACTCCTCTGTCTGGACCTGCATGAAGCAGACGACCCCCAGAGGTCCCTCCCAACTCCGTCTACAACCCTCCAGCACAAGTCTTGTTTCAGCAATCACTGAAGCACTGACAAGTGCAGTGACAATGCTTCGGCCCTCTGTGCTTTGGGAGAAACACCAGCCTGCGGAGAGGCGGGGACAGGAAGCACGTAAATAGATCAGAGCAGGCTTGTGACTGCACGTCAGAAGTGACACACACCATGTGCCCCGATGCTCGGTAAAGAAGGGTCAAGCTTTTCAAAGTTGCAGAAGACTGTTTTGTGGTACACCATGAATTGAACATGAACATGGGAAACTGCCCTACTCGCCCACAGAACAGAGAATGCTTCAGCTACAAACAGGTCATAAAATTATACCGAAACATCAATTTCAAGGGACCAGTCTTTCATGCTGGACACTCAAAGCACATAAGATCAGCGTGAAGTGCTCACCTGCGTTGGAAGAAGATTCCAGTTCTGCTTGCTACGAATCTGTTTGTCCACAATATCACCATCACATATACTATCAGCTGCTCTGCTCAAGAGCACCAAGTGCTTTTTCAGGTTTCCTCTGGAAAAAACCCAAAGTTGACCGTATTACGAAGCAGAAACATGCAGAAAGGTCTACGTCTAGTTTTACTCCCCGACGACACAAAAGCCTAATGTCAGTTTAGGGTATGGAGTAACTCACCCAGCAGCAGCTGGTTTCACATGTACATAGTTCTCTTGAACAAAGAGAGGTGCTAGGGAATAATCATGGAAGAAGAGATCCGATTTGTCTATAAGAGACATACGAGAAGCCTCCTCGCCAGCAGCAAAAACCTTCCGGACGACATCAAAAGGGCCCTAAGTAAATGAAATGTCAGGAAGTCAGTGGGCTGCATAACCAATACAACACAGCACAACATCAGCCAAGTGATGGCACCCAACAATACCTGGACTCATCTGTACAAGTTCAGTGTTCCCTTCCTAGCACTTCACCAGTTTTGAGAGTTGTGTTTTTCTGCTGATACAGAGATAATTATCTTCTAAACAGGGGACTCGCGATGAGAAGTGTGAGCTTCACAATTGCATCTTGTGTAAGAGATAAGTACATCGAAACACATTCTCACTCCTGCGCATAATGCTCTGCAGCTATTTGCGGCCAATCTGACAGCTCCCTGCATCCAGACTATCGGTGCTTTGGTTCAGAAGATGCTTATAAAGCCCCGCGACTACACTGGAATACGACAGCGAAAGCCAACACAGTACGTTCCACTTACCAGTTTGATGTCCTTTTTGGCTCTGCTGGCATCCGTTTTAGCCTCATCGTAAGTCAACGATTTATCTTTTGCACACCACATATTAAGGTTATGTAAAACCTAAAGAAAATTACAGCATAGCAGCATTGAAATGGAGGATTCAAGCAGAAAACAGCCTGATCTCTGTACACCAAGCAGTGCTGTTCAATGCCACACGGAAGTCAAGGACTTGACCACAGCGTGCTCCCTGAACGGACACCGGCGCTGACCTGTCTGATGTCCTGATTGGCTGCCAGGATTATCTCTTGCATAGCAGGTGGTGGAATTTTCAAGCCTTCTTTAAATGCAATGGACATCATGGCACCCTGCAACACACACGGTTGAGAAACTGTCACTAGAGGATTCTGTGAATTCCTCCCCCTACAGAACACACTGACACACCTAAGAGAGAGCATTCCCACATTCTTCTAGGTTTTGAAGCACACATAATTTAAATTGTCTCTTGTAAATATTAAGTCATCCCTTGTCACAGGTGTAAAAAAGCGCATGATCATTTAAAAACATCTTTGGAAAAAATTTAACAGACTTGTACAATCAGAGAGGCTTTGATACACTTCATTCTTTTCAAAACAGAAAGAAACAGACAACTCTGAGTCGCTCGTTGAGGCGATCCATTAAGTTTTAAGTGGTGTTTCCAACTCTAAATTCTGTCACACAGAGACAGCATCGCCGATGGTAATTCACTGCAGCCCACGCAGCCACCGCCTTCTTACCTTAATCTGTTCTAGACGAGGTCTCTGAAAACGAAGATCGAAACAGTAGTGGACCAAGGAACGCATTTTAGGGTGGTTGCGGTCATTACACATACAGATGATGGGTATCTTCGTGTGTCTAATCAAACCAATCAACTCCTGTGATTTAAACACAACAGTTGCATCAGGTAACCCCAATTAAAGTGTCATACCAAGCAGCATTAGTCCCTGCCTTAGATCAGATCCTTGCAGATGCGAGTCTGTACAGCTCCAACCGCCATCACGTTTCTGTAGGCAGTGCAAACCTAGCCCCTCCCCTCCTACTTTTCTCACTTGCTATTCTCTCTGCAGCTGCACTGTCTGCCATCTACCCACTCCTGCTATCTACTTCCAGCAGTCATGTTTGGCCCGTTCTTCATAAAGCAACACGGATCAGCAGCCCCCAGCAGAGCTGCCCACCTGCAGATCAAGATTCATTTGTCCCAAGGCCAGTTGGAGCTGCTCTGTGCCCGAGGCAGCACACCTCTCTGACTGCCTCCAACAACAAAGCAGCAGGAAGCCATCAGCTCTTCCCTGTCCAAAGAGCTCAACCCTATGGCTTCTGCATTATTTGGCTTACCAGAACAAGCTTTGCCTGCTCTAATGAAGGTGAAATTAAGTTCAGTTTCATATTCCTGCAGCATGCATGTCTGCATCTGAGCTGAAGTACTGCACATGGCCATAGGAAATCTTGAGAAGCCCCAGCTGGAGCTGCTAAGGGGAACCACGGATAACCCTGCCTATGCCACGTTATCTGTTCAGTGTTACTGCCTGCTGAGCAGAGCAACGCTTCAGCCAGATTGCAAACCTCCCGCTGCAGGTAGATGTCCGCTACAGAGACCGTAGGATAGATTCACCTGTCCAGGAACAAACATCCCAAGTGCACACACCCAAGTCTCTTTTACAGAGATATCTTTTCCTCCCTCTACCAATGCCTGACCCTTCTAACAGAACAGCAGGCTTCTAAAAATAGGTCAGAAACTGCACTCTGCAGAGACTTTCTTTCTACAGCCCACGGGTGGAGGACAGCAGACGGGCCTGGTGTATTTGGTGCTATGTGGTACACACTCGCAGCAATGGCATCAGCTCATAACTATAGCAGCTTCACCTGAATCCCTCCTCTGTCTTCATTGCCTGCCATACCATCCACTTCATCCATGATCAATACATGTTTCCCGCTAACTGATGAGGATGTGCCTGAAAATGAATATGAACAAAAAAAAAATGAGATGGGAATAAAACAGGGTCTTGCTCACAGTTTTACCCAACACCTTATAGATTAGGTAGCCCCATCCTAGACAACTGAGGTGGTGTGAGCCTCTCGCTCTGCCACTTGATCGTGTGAGTTTCTACTTTCATGGGCCAGAACTGACTACAACCTCGTGTCATCTTCCATGAAGCAAGTCCCATGCAGCAGAAGAGCAACTGCAGAGTTCTGGAGTCATCTGTGCAGATCAACAACGGCTGCTCTTCATCGCAGGATCTAATTCTACAGCTGAAGCTGAAATAAAGCAGCTTACTGAATGAAGCCATCCCTATCGGAGACCGATCCCTCCACGTGATGAGGAAGTTAAATTCCTAACATGACATGCTGCGTAACAAGGAAACGCTGTCCCTCCAGTAACCCTGTAACTGGACTCTTAACACAACAAAAATCCTCCTTCAAAGGACAGACATACCAGAGCAGAACTCCTTGATGCTGGTGTTGTCGAGCGATTCAGCAACTACTTCCTTTAGACTGTTCCTGCTGCGCGTGTCGCTGGCATTCAGCTCCACAAAGCTGTACCCCAGCTCCTAGTCCAAACACAGACCACGAGAACGCAGGTCAGTGAAACAGCACGCACGTACGCAGAAGGAGCGTTTCAGAGTTCCAGAAGAAAGCCCTTAACACCACTGTTTTCACATGTAATTTGTGGCTTTAATTCTTTTCTCCCCTTACAGTCCTTTTCTCCCGCACTCCAGAAATATTTATAACCACACGCAGAACAGATATTCCCAAAAGAATATTTTTGGGGGAAGGAGGAAGTCAGCAGCACAGATTTAGCTCTGAAAGATTAACAGAGCTGCCACCAGGGATAGAAGCAGAACTGTGAGCCAAAGCTGGCTAAGCTCCGTGGTATTTCCAGCTGCATATCAGTGTCTTCTACACAAACATGCCGCATCCCTCAAAGCTGAGGGAAAGCAGCTTTTCATTATTCAGCAGGTTGGAAACACATGGCTCCCCCAGCAGCCCTAACACTTCCAAATGCATTTCAGTCCCCAGAAGAACTTAACTCAGCTGTTCCTTTATCAGCAAACTCCACAGCCAAGGGCCTGCCACAGCACAGCAGCGAGCTGCACGCAGCCTTTGTCCTGCGGCTTGAACAGCCCCGTTTTGTTGGCACACTCCTGTGGAGCACAGAGAAATGCCCTGCAGAGACCACAAGCAGGTGCCAGCAAGCTAGGCTGGAAACCAGGAGCAGAAGAGACCATGCTAGTGCCGAAACGAGGCCAAGTCAGCACATGCAGTTTTTCTGCAGGTCTAGATTTGAGTGTGAGTCCATCAGCCTGCTGGCTCAAAGCTCTGAGGTGGTGGTGTGGAGATTGGGACTTACTCTCTGTCACTCAAATACCGAGCTAAGTAATCGCTCCTCGCCAGCACGAAGATCAGAGCGCTGACAACAGTTCTGAACCCTTCCAAGCTGGTGGTACCATACGGTACAAAGTTCTCATAATTCAGAGAACAAAAATAACCTGTTACAAGTTCGCTTTAGTATGGAGTTCTCAGCCGATTCTCACGACAGAGTTAGTGAACACAGTGTTCCAGTAGGTT